TTGAACATAAAATAATTATTGCTAAACTGACTAATAAACAAAAATGTATAAAAAATCTACGAAATAAACTAAATTTACAATAAACTCCTCTAAAATTAAACTTTGTCTCAACTTAACTATAACCTAGACCCATATTCCACAAACTATTAGCAATTATTGATCAACTAATTTCACCAAACATATCCAAAAAAAAAATGTGAAACATTCTAGCTAACAGTATGGTCAAACAAAGATGAGCAACATAGTATAATGACGTATTATAAACATAGTTTTGACGTATTTAAAGGTATCTCAAATATTCCAAACCTGATTCAATCAAAAAACATACACAATAAAACATGTCGCTCACTGTGGTCTCCTCTTAGTCCCAAAGCACGAAGGTAGAAGGCCTCCTCTCAATTGTGGGGTCATGATCACAGCCATACCCTTCTATAAAAAAATGGAGAACCCAATGATGTCAAATAAGCTTCAAAATTTATGAATTCTCTACTTTCCAAAAATTACATCTCTCTTGCTAAAATTTCTTGAAATGCCTTGTACAACTATGTAATTTTCTCAATAACATAAGAAAATCACATGTCAGTATGTTCAATGCAATACTCACAGCTATCCAAAGGTTCGACATAATGAAACAAACTATGCCTTTTTTCCTAGTTTTCTTACCCTAGAATCCAAGCTATAGAGAAATGCACTTATTGGAACGGACTCGTATATGTGGAGTAAAGCAGTTCGAGAGATACCTGGGCAAGTTGATCAATACCTTGGCGTTTCTAGAGCTAGCAATGTTTCTTTGAGTGACGATAGGAAGACTCGAAAAATCCCCCCATAACTCATCCTCAACTCCTATTTTACTCCAATAAATGGCTACAAGTGGTAGAAAACCACCAATGGTAGCAACAACCAGTTCCAGAATTACCACAACCTACACACTGATAAAAAAATTAAATTAAATACTCAAAAGATGTACCCATTTTAGTTATGCGCCGCCACCATATCATATATTGTGGAAAAAGCGTTAAGATCTTAACTGGTCATGGTCCAAAATGTTGGGAAGAAACGAAAAGCCACTGCGAAACAATCCACAATAAAAGCATACTATGTTACATATTGAAGGTCGGATCCAATATAATAGATGCAGTAGCACTATGTTAACACTATAAAATCAGAATGTAACATTATATAAAAGAAGTAGGTAGCACTATGTTAACATTGTAAAAAAGCAGTTGCAGTAGCACTATGGATTTAGTTACACATTAAAGGTAGGTATTATATCAAGCCCAACAGTCCATCAAATACATTAATGATTGATTTCACAAATATCAAAACAATCAAAAAAGAGAATATAATATAGAGATTGAGTTCACAGTAGCACCTGAAAAAGGTACACGAGGACAAAGGACCACAAACCTGCACAGAAAACAATTAACATTGGTGCGATGGAGGCAAGAATCACATATAAATGTATGTTAGAAAAGGATATCCATGTTGAAGAAGCAAAGATATCCATGGTGCATAGATGAAGTCAACAATAAAAACAAAATAATAAAATCAATTTAAAGCATACATGAAGAACTTAGTTTCGATGACCATAAATGAAGTCAACAATACCGAACTTCGCAAACACAACTTAGACCCGAGTCAATTTCAAATCCGAAAATAATTAAATCAGATAAACCAATCTTAAGATCAGCTAACACAATTATCCACTTGGTGCATTTTAGCAAGCAAAAAGATTAAAAAGCATAAAAAATAGCCCACTGTCCATAAGCAAAGGGCTGAAGGAACTTTTTGAAACAAAAAAAAAATATTATTTTGACAATTTGTCATACAGATAGTACACAGAAGTTGGGAGACACAGGAAAGGGGCTGTCGAGTGAGGTTATGATTATGGAGAAAAAGTGAGAAAAGAAGATGATTGAGGGAGAAGAGATACGTGACAAAGAGAAAGGAGATGCGTGAGAGAGAGAGGAGACGATTGAGAAGGATTCCTGAAATAGGCAGAGGCTGGGCAGCTATTGGCTGTTGTTGGCAATGAATGTGCAACAACACAGAGAGAGGAGGGATAAGGGGCGGTTGTCGCTAGCAGTGAAGAGAAAGAAGATATGCGTCACTGCTAGGGATTGGGCAGCGGTACAATAGAGAAGAAGGTAGAGAGAAAATAGAGTTGGGGGAAGATGATCATAAGGGCATAGAAAAAGAGAAGGACAAATAGGAGATGCGTGAGAGAGGAGATAATTGAAAAGAATACCTGAAATAGGTAGTGGTTGGGCAGCTGCAGGCTGTTGTTGGCAGTGGATATGCAGCAGCACAGAGAGAGAAGAATAATGGGCGGTTGTTGTTGGCGGTTAACCGATAGAAGAAATGTGTCACTACTGGGGATCGGGCAGCGACGCAATAGAGAAAATGGTAGAGAGAAAATAGAGGTAGAGGGAGATGAACATGAGCACATAGAAAGAGATGGACAAAGAGGAGATCCATGAGAAAGAGAGAAAGAGGAGATGATTGAGAAGGATACCCGAAATAGACAGTGGCTGGGCAGCTACTAGCTGTTGTTGGCAGCAGATGTGCAGCGGCACAGACAGAGAGGAGATAAGGGGGAGTTGTCACTGGCGGTGAACCAAGAGAAGAGATGTGTCACTGCTTCTTGTTGAAGGCTTAATTGTGGGGGATTAGGCAGTGGCGCAATAAGGAAGAAGGTAGAGAGAAAATAGAGATAGGGGGAAATGATCATGAGCGAATGGAGAAAGTGAACGTGAGAGAGGGAGAGAGAATTTCAGGGCACAACCATAGGTCGTAGTTTGGAAAGCATATTTGGGGGAGAGAGGAAGATGATTTGAGAAAGGCATGCGAGATAGAAATTGAGTGTAAGAAAGTTGACTAAGAAAAGAGATAAAGGGGAGACAGAGAGCAGATTTTGATGCGAACCTTGGGGAGTGATTGAAGGCCTGACCAAGGGTAACAAAATGGAAAGTTTTTGGCGGGAAAAAATATTTCTAGACTCATGATGGCTCATTGAATTAGTAATTTTGAGATGATCTGAACCACGTTTTATGTTGGCGTAATGTAGCCCGTCGAATGACCCTTTATTTTATCTTCAAACGATCTAAGCCACTTCTTGTCTTTTGATTCAAAAACTGCTCTACTTTATTATATAAATTAGTGGTAACAGAAAGCATCTACTGCTCAACACTGCGGTTTGATTCAAAAACTTCTCTACTTTATTATATAAATTAGTGGTAACAGAAAGCATTTACTGCTCAACACTGGGGTTGGATACATATATTTTTTTGGGCACCACTTTGCTATGTATCATGTGATATCCAAGGATGAAAATTCTATATTAAGATAAAAAAACAACTCCATAAAAAATGAAATGCTCTACAAGCATGTATTTATTCTTTACTATAAAGCAAATCTAGGTCAACTAAATAGAGACTTGTTACCTCGGGTGGCGCGGAGCAAAGCATGTAGAAGCAATGATAGTACCTCTTAGGATCGGACACTTGACAAACACGAGACATTTTCGGCTGGTAAGTTCTAATAGAAGCTCGTGAACTCCTTCCTCTCCGGTCAAATTCAATCTCCACAAGCCTACCGAAATGACTGCAACATACATAACATGAAGAGATAGAAGAAAACAATTAAACCAGAAAGTATTAGAGAAACTTTGCGACATATACAGAAGTTACACCGTAAATGCAAAATGTTCCAACCTGGATTTGTTGTTTTTGACTGAATTTTCATTACCGAATGCTTCTAGAACCGATTTGACTGCAAAACAAATGAAAACACGGCCAAAACACATATTGTATTCAATTAAAGAACTAAATTATGTGGTGAAAGATCTAAAATCTGGCCTCAGAATGAATCAGTCCTTCGTCTAAGCTTGTTGAACAGACTGAAATGCAATGCTTACCTCCAGGGACTTATGCAGCTCTGCCTCCCACCTAAGGAAGATACTTCATGAGCAATTTTGTGCTTTCTGTTTTACCTGATCCACTCTCGCCACTAACCAAAATTGACCGAATGATTCCCTAATTTGAGTGAAGATGCCTGGTATCCATATATGTGTTCCCTTTCAAGCTCAATTCATATCAGCTTAATGAAGATTCAACAACTTTTAGTCTTAGAAGCTCTCTTGGGATTATGTGAGGAGATTATAGAACTAGGCATGATCCCTAAGAGTATCAATATGTGATGCCTATCTGCCTCTACCTTTTCTTTTCGCTTCTTATTCCCCTTTTTCCTAATTTCCACACTACATCATCCTGCAACCGGACCTTGGTAGTGACTCTTCAAAACGTTAGAAATCCTACCTTGACAAGCCTCATCTCTGGAACAAAGAACTTATCAATTTTTAATTAGCCTAACTTCAATATGCACTAATCCCTTTTTAACACCCAGCATGCCAACATAGCCACTCTCTATAAAGTACAGTACCAGAACCCCTATTAATTTCTTGAACCAACCACCTCAAAAAACCTAGCCAATATCAATCCTTCATTCCACAGACTAAGTTCCTTGATCTACAAAATTTACTTAATCTAAGCACAGTATACATCTAAGATTGGGAGACTCTAGCACCAGTTTTTGGAGTATTCTGCTATATCATTTCATGTAGCAGGGCTTGTATAAGTGTGTTTCATCACACGTTCTACATCAGCTGTCCATGACTTAAAAACTCCATCCCAAGGTCAGTACTTTCCCTGTCGACATTCTGAAAAACCATATTGAAAAGAAAAGTTATAAGTACTTTCCTCAAAGAAAGGACTTATACTAGACCCCTCAAAATTTTTAAGTCCAAATAAGGCTACAAACTTCTTTTTAGGACCACCCCCATCATAGCATTCTAAGCCACAAATGAGACTGAACAAAGCTGAAAGTGGACAAAGAATCAAACTGTAGTTCACCTGCTAGCCATAGAATTGCTATTTTTCATTAGGAAGAACAAAGAAAATGCTACTCTATAAAAACCAATGAAAGCAGAGGACAGTGAATAATCACAATTTGGCATTCTTACCAGGAATAACAGCATTAATAATTCCCCATGGCCACCTGTAATACCAACTGATATAGAATGTGAATCTACAAAGACTACCAATTTTATCCCCTTGAATATTGAATATTACCAAGACTCCACATGCTACATACATAGGATTAATATATTAGATCAATATCAGTAGTAAGGGAAAGCATTTGCTGCTCAACATTGGGGTCGGCTACAAATATTTTTTTGGGCATCACTTTCCCATGTATCATATGATAAATAAGAATGAAAATTCTATGTTAAGATAAAATACAACTATATAAAAAATGTAATGCTCTACAAGCATATATTTAGTCTTTTTTATGAAGTCTTGGTGAAGCCAATAAAGACTTGTTACCTCGGGTGGTGCAGCACAAAGCATGTAGAAGCAGTGAAAGTTTCATTCCGGATCGGACACTTGACAAATACGAGATTTTTTCAGCACGTAAGTTCTGATAGCAGCTCCTGAAATCCTTCCTCTCTGGTCAAATTGAATCTCCACAAGCTTACCGAAATGACTGCAACATACTCCACACGAGGGGATAGAAGGAAACAATTCAACAAGAAAGTATTAGAGAAACTTTGCACAATATACAGAAGTTACACTGTAAATGCAAAATCTTCCCACCTGGAGTTGTTGTTTCTGACTGTCTTCACCTTACCAGATGCTTCTAGAACAGGATTTGACTGCAAAACATATGAAACACAGCCAAAACACATATTATACCCAATTACGAAACTAACTTATGTGGTGAAAGAGTTCAAACCTGGCCTCAGCATGACGCAGTCCTGCATCTAAGCTTGTTGGACGGACTGAAATGCAAGGCTTACCTCCGGCTCTTGCTGCTTGACAATGTAAGCAACATACCACATAAGCAATTTTGTGCTTTCTGTTGTAACTACTCCACTCTCACCACTAACCAAAATTGACTGACTGATTCGCTAATTGATCATAACTCTGCATCTACATAATTGGCCTTAATCATTGTAATGCAAAGCGAAGGCAACCGAATTATGAACTCATGATCGTGACAACGTACCTATATGCTGCATCTGCAACAGCAAAAGGAAGGGGGCTCAGTTCACCGAAGGCTGCCCCTTTGTACTGTGTCATCATATGACTATCATATAAATGAGGCAATTTTATGTAAGGCTTCATAGCAAGTATTATAGTTCCTGTGTAAGTCTGGAAGCACTATCAAGTTGATTAGCTTCAAAACATTAGAATTAAATAAGAAAATGTTGAAACAGATGGTTCCAACATCAAATGAAGTGTGGGAAATACTTGCATTTATTTTATTGATATCACATCTGGATTTTAAATTGTGAAAAAGTCCTGGCTCATTCAAATAAGCCAGCTTTGTCATTTCATCCGCTACACATGGTGGTACTTCATCATCTTTTGGATAAATCCAAGAAGTTTTAACGACAACCTGTAACTTAAATTTAACAAAAGAAAGAAATGACCAAAGTCGAAGAATCATCAATATCTGCATATTTGTTTCTGAACCAACAAAAATACCTATACTAATTTGAGGGAAATGATTTAACAAAAAGTTGTTGGACGAATTTCCACCTGTCAAAATTTCATACAAACATAAAATAACCACAAAAATGAATTACAAGTTGATATTCAGCATTTCAAGAATAACAACCAATTGAAGCAGATATACCATATACGCTTTAAATATCAATTTCAAGTAGTGATGTAGAAAACTCACAAGAACCTTAATTTCTTCACCATTAGCCTCCACAACTTCGCAATCTACCCAAGCTACATCAGGATCCCTCACCCACGCAAGAGATCCAATGCCAAGCTGTGACCAAAACAACCTATAACACTTTTTCATATATTTCAGACAGTTAATATAAGAGGAAGCAGTTAATAAGCCCAGAACTGAGTCCATTGGCGCACTCCAAAAAACAAGAAAACCAGAGCCAATTGAACAATTGAATAACAACTATTATCATTCACGTTCATACCTAGACACACACAGCGTTTTAATGACTATAAAACTTTCAGTCAGGTTATTATTCTATGGGAAACATTCCATAAGATCATCATTCTATAAGGTCTTGAAACTTGGAAATCTTCACACAAACTTCTGAACAGAGAGAGACTGGGATCATATCAAAACAGCAAAAGTATTTCATGAAAAGTAATTCAGCACCTTTACTTCTAAGGATTCGGTTTAATCAGACTGACAGATTCCAACAAGATGTCAATGGCAAGCCATCAAGCTATTACCCAGCTTGATCCCATTAAATTGAAGTTGGTGGAAATGGTGGGTTGTGTACAGCTCTAGCCTTTGCCATTAGTTGTGCAGAATGCTCGCCCTCTTATTCAAATTTCCAACTTGACGGTTGTCGGTGTGTGATTTTACCATCACACCATGCACTGACTATTTGCAACAAAAACAATGGAAAACAAATCTTTCTGGGTTTCTGCTACTACCATGGAGGTCCTAAAATACTGTGCAAAGGCTGAAGAATGCTGAGGAAGGAGCTGTAAATTTGTTGCTGAAACTTAGCTTTCCAAGCCGGCCATTCTATCTCTAAAATCCCCAAAAAACTTAAGCCAGACAAATAATTCAGTTTCTTGAGTGTCCCACTTCCATGCAATATTCATGAAAATATTCTATTCCTTAGGTGACATATCAAAAGGATGCCAAATCAAAATGCATTCAATGTATTGAAGATCTAAACATTAACCATCTTGGAGAGCCTCTAAGAACAGCAAAGAGTGAACCCTAAAAGTTACCATACTGGCTAGTGCAACAAAAGACTAAGTGTCATTAAAAGATGACACAGTGATTAAAACTGCTAATATGACATACAAGAGATAAAGGAAATCCTGAAACATATATGAACAATGCCAAAAGAATATCAAGCCTCCACAACCAGGGTTTTGACTTGGGCAACATACTTGTGATGCAACAACAACCTTAACAACTCGCAGAAAATCCGGAAGCGCACACGCACCTCAAAAAAGTATCACCTCGAAATCTACCTGTCGACAAGGATCAAAATTTCGTTTCGAAGTACCGTTTCGGTCAACTCAAAAATAGAAACGTTTCGGAAACATTTCGGAAACGCAATGGAAACGCAGAAAAAATATGGAAACGCATAGAAACACAAATGCAATCCATTAATTTATAAAGATATGCTAAATAATTTATTAATTCAACATATTTATTAGGTTAACATCAATTTATACAAGAATAAATTTAAATTTGAAGGAAAAAAAGGCTTGACTTGAGGCGAAAGTCACTTAAATTAGTTTCAAACACTTAATTTTATGAAATAAACACATTTTTACATAATATTAAGGTCTTATAATACACATGGAATGCTAATGAGTACATACTTACATGGTTACATCCATTCCCCTGTGGAGTGTCGAGCAGGCTCATACATCGGTGTAGGCTCTGGGTAGCTACTTAGAGAAACTCCATATGTGACATAAATATGATGACAATAGTTACTCCAAATCATATTATTACGGTAATATAATCCAATTAATAATACTATTTTATTATAATACTAATAATGAAGGGTATCAAATTAAATTAATGATACTTATGTATACTTAAAAATTAAATGTAATTGCAGTGGGTATTAAATGTAATTACAGTAGGTATTAAATATAATTACATTAGGGTATTAAATGTAATTGTTAATACTTATAACAAAAAAAAAAGCAAAAAACTTGCACAGCAGTGAGGTATTAAATATAATTACAGTATGTATTAAATATAATTATAATGGGTATTAAATATAATTATAGTAGGGTATTAAGTGTAATTATTTATTCTTATAACAAAAAAATTATAAAAGACAGAAGAGCAGTGAGAATAAATGTAATTATAGTGGGATATTAAATATAATTATAGTGAGTATTAAATGTAATTACAGTGGGTATTAAATGTAATTATAATGGGGTATTAAATATAATTATTCATAATGAACCGAATATATCACTGTTTTGTCGAAACGGTTCGAAACAATGCCGTTTCGACCGAAACGGTCCGAAACAGTACCGTTTCGACCGAAACACTGGAATTTTGTGATTCAACTACTGTTTCGTTTCGGAGTGTTGAAATTCCGAAACGTTTCGGACGTTTCGGACGTGTCGACACGACATTTTGATCCTTGCCTGTCGAAGACTTGATAAATTATATGCTACTTGGACAGGGTTGTTCAAAGCCAATATTTGAACTCAAGATTCGATAAAGATTCAAGAAGCAGCAGCAAACAGAGACAGGAACTATGGAAACAAAAGTGGATTCCATTAATATCCACCAAGTAGAACAAATCCTGATGAAACTAAGATAGGTCAACTAAATATAGACTTGTTACCTCAGGTGGTGCGGAGCAAAACACGTAGAAGCAATGATAGTACCTCTAAGGATCGAACACTTGACAAACACGAGACCTTTTCGGCTGATAAATTATAATAGCAGCTCCAGAACTCCTTCCTCTCCGGTCAAATTCAATCTCCACAAGCTTACCGAAATGACTGCAACGTACATAACATGAAGAGATAGAAGAAAACAATTCAAACAAACAGTATTAGAGAAACTTTGCGACATATACAGAAGTTACACTGTAAATGCAAAATGTTCCCACCTGGAGTTGTTGTTTTTGACTGAATTTGCATTAACGAATGCTTCTAGAACAGGATTTGACTGCAAAACAAATGAAAACACGGCCAAAACACATATTGTATTCAATTAAAGAACTAAATTAGGTGGTGAAAGATCTAAAATCTGGCCTCAGAATGAATCAGTCCTTCGTCAAAGCTTATTGAACAGACTGAAATGTAATGCTTACATCCAGGACTTATGCACCTCTGCCTCCCACCTAAGCAAGATACTGCATGACCAAATTTGTGCTTTCTGTTTTACCTGATCCACTCTTGCCACTAACCAAAATTGACCGAATGATTCCCTAATTTGAGTGAAGATGCCTGGTATCCATATATATGTTCCCTTTCAAGCTCAATTCATATCAGCTTAATGAAGATTCAACAACTTTTAGTCTTAGAAGCTCTCTTGGGATTATGTGAGGAGATTATAGAACTAGGCATGATCCCTAAGAGTACCGATATGTGATGCCTATCTGCCTCTACCTTTTCTTTTTGCTTCTTATTCCCCTTTTTCCTAATTTCTGCACTTCATCATCCTGCAACCGGACCTTGGTAGTGACTCTTCAAAACGTTAGAAATCCTACCTTGACAAGCCTCATCTCTGGAACAGAGCACTTATAAATCTTTAATTAGCCTAACTTCAATATGCACTAATCCCTTTTTAACACCCAACATGTCAACATAGCCACTCTCTATAAAGTACAGTATCAGAACCCCTATTAATTTCTTGAACCTCAAAAAACCTTGCCAATATCAATCCTTCATTCCACATACTAAGTTCCTTGATCTACAAAATTTACTTAATCTAAGCACAGTATACATCTAAGATTGGGAGACTCTAGCACCAGTTTTTGGAGTATTCTGCTATATCATTTCATGTAGCAGGGCTTGTATAAGTGTGTTTCATCACACGTTCTACATCAGCTGTCCATGACTTAAAAACTCCATCCCAAGGTCAGTACTTTCCCTGTCGACATTCTGAAAAACCATATTGAAAAGAAAAGTTATAGGTACTTTCCTCAAAGAAAGGACTTATGCTAGACCCCACAAAATTTTTAAGTCCAAATAAGGCTACAAACTTCTTTTTAGGACCACCCCCATCATAGCATTCTAAGCCACAAATGAGACTGAACAAAGCTGAAAGTGGACAAAGAATCAAACTGTAGTTCACCTGCTAGCCATAGAATTGCTATTTTTCATTAGGAAGAACAAAGAAAATGCTACGCTATAAAAACCAATGAAAGCAGAGGACAGTGAATAATCACAATTTGTCATTCTTACCAGGAATAACAGCATTAATAATTCCCCATGACCACCTGTAATACCAACTGATATAGAATGTGAATCTACAAAGACTACCAATTTTATCCCCTTGAATATTGAATATTACCAAGACTCCACATGCTACATACATAGGATTAATATATTAGATCAATATCAGTAGTAAGGGAAAGCATTTGCTGCTCAACATTGGGGTCGGCTACATATATTTTTTTGGCATCACTTTCCCATGTATCATGTGATAATTAAGAATGAAAATTCTATGTTAAGATAAAATACAACTATATAAAAAATGTAATGCTCTACAAGCATACATTTAATCTTTTTTTATGAAGTCTTGGTGAAGCAAATAAAGACTTGTTACCTCGGGTGGTGCAGTGCAAAGCATGTAGAAGCAGTGATAGTTCCATTCAGGATCAGACACTTGACAAATACGAGATTTTTTCAGCACGTAAGTTCTGATAGCAGCTCTTGAAATCCTTCCTCTCTGGTCAAATTGAATCTCCATAAGCTTACTGAAATGACTGCAACATACTCCACATGAAGGGGTAGAAGGAAACAATTCAACCAGAAATTATTAGAGAAACTTTGCACAATATACAGAAGTTACATTGTAACTGCAAAATTTTCCCCCATGGAGTTGTTGTTTCTGACTGTCTTCGCCTTACCGGATGCTTCTAGAACAGGATTTGACTGCAAAACAAATGAAACACAGCCAAAATACATATTATACCCAATTAAGGAACTAAATTATGTGGTGAAAGAGTTCAAACCTGGCCTCAGCATGACACAGTCTCGCGTCTAAGTTGTTGGACGGACTGAAATGCAAGGCTTACCTCCGGGACTTGCTGCTCAACAATGTAAGCAAGATACCACATAAGCAATTTTGTGCTTTCTGTTGTAACTGCTCCACTCTCACCACTAACCAAAATTGACTAACTGATTCCCTAATTAATCATAACTTTGCATCCACATAAT